TTATGATTTTGCGTGCGGAACTGAAAGCGGGTGCCACACGCCAGCCTAAGTGCAAAACCTAAGAAAACCAGGACAGGTAAAGTATGGTGTTCCAAGCCACTCAAAGCCTACATGGCCTCCAACTCCAAATCGACACATCCAAAGGGACAATGCACATCTACCGATGCTGATTGTGCCTTTAATTTTTTAGCGGGGGGCAGGAGCACCATTGCAAGTCTCCTGCCGACAAAGACACTTGCAACTGGTGGTGATACCAGGCCTGATCAGTCTGGCGTACCTGCAGTTTTACTTGAGTCAGTTCCTCGTGGGCCCTGCTTGTAACCATAACAAGATGTCACAGTCCAAGTGGATCCCTGTGACTTCAAAGGGCACACACACGCATGTGGCTCCTCTTTCCGCCGCATCCGCATTCGGCGCCCCTTTGGCAGCCCCTCCATCTCCTCAGCAGAACTCTTCACAGAACAAGAAAACCAAGGTTTCCGGAGGCCACCATGCTGTACTGCCACACGCTGCACCGCTTCGCAGGGGTGTCCCAGCAACCTCGCCCGACCGTCGCAACGGTGGTTGTGCGTGGGAAGGTCGTGCGTTTGAAGGTAGTTTGGGGTGGTCACCTGGTGAATCGTTCGTCGCTGAAGTTGAATGACATTTAACACTCTGAGTGGAAGCATGTTCATGTAAGAGAGTGGGAATTTATGCAATAGAACACTAGCGCATATTGAACCGAAGACCGTTGTTTTTGTCGACTACAAAGAGTTGCTTCCCAGATCATCCGGAAATCCTCTGATTCGCACAAACTGACTGGTTTTGCAATTGAAAAATTGCCGAGGATGTCCAAATCATGCTGGGATACAGGCAAGTGAAGGATTATACAATTGTAGCTACAACAATCAAAAAATTGTTGTGCAGGGATCCATGCGTTGCAGCGACCTGAGCGGTGCGAAACCCATCGAAATTCCCACGCAGAGTTCAGATTGGTCAATCTCTGATATGCTCAGAAAGCTTCTAGGGCTCCAAGTACCTCCTCAGAAGGTATTTGGACCCTCCAAACCCACCCCAAACACCTTCTCAGAAGGTGCCTGGAGCCCTGCTCAGAAAGCCAGCGAAAAGAGAAGACTCATTCTCTCAACCTCTATACTTGCCAAGCCATCGATCTTTGCTTACCAGAAACAAGTCAGTACAACCACTGGAACCCAACTTTCACTGAGTGTTTGTTCGAAGGATAGCCCCAGACTAGAACTGTTTGGCCGCCATTTGGCTGCACGATGTTCAGAAGCCCGGAGAGCTTCAAATGTGCCTCCTGCAAGCAAGTGGATATATCATGATACGTCATCGAAGGATTGACCTTGGAAGGGCTCAAAAATATGACCCGCAGACCAGTGGTACCACCCAAAAGGTTTAAGATCCATTCAAGGAGCTACTCCCATTCCTGCAGGATGACTTCGACCTGGAATTCTGTCGAGCTTTACATGACCAAGGCCCTAAAACGGCGGAAGCGTGTCATGTGCCAGCACCCACAAGGTCTCACACTGACTGTTTGTACCAGCGAAACCATTAGTCCAGCTAATAACGCGTATGTGTCATGGTGGTGCCTTAAAGCCGAATAGAATAGCAACGTTGTCCTCAGAAAATGCAAGGTTAACAGGTGTCAATCAAGAGATAGATGTGGGAAAGATGTGAATCTTTCTTCCAAGGAAGCTGAGGGGGTTCAGCTGTCACAGGGGAGGTGAACTCATCATGTTGACCCTTTCAGGCGAATAGCTCGACCGATGTTGAGGTTCTTTCTTCTCCACGCAAAGAGACCGTGTGCAGACGTGAAAGATTGACGAGGAATGGAAGAAAGGTAAGGAAGAGACATGCGTATTCCACGCTTGGACAATTGGACTGTATTCCACTCCCGGAGGTTTTTTGGTGTCTCATTCTCCATCTCAATTCTATGGGACATCACATTCCCATGCCGATGTCAGGCTTGGCCTACCAAGTGGTGGCTGCAGAGGGTGCATCAAGGTGCACTTTTGGGGCACTGAAAAAGAGCGGAAGTTGAGGGATGTTGAGGGCCTCAGGGCGGGGTCCTAAAGAAATTCATCGGAGAATCTGGGGATGGGTCAAAACGTGGAGCCCCAATCCACCACACCATGTAGCGAACGACCTCCCAGGTAGATCGTGCCCGATCGGTCTCCTGGTGCCATGACCCACAGCCATGCGAGCCATGTGGGAGTTCAAGTATGGTATCAACTTTCGGAGGCCGAATTTGAAGGAGGTACGTGATCCGAAGTGTTCAGAAGGTTTGAGGATGTGGTCCAGGTGTTGAACGGTCTCAGGTGTTGAAACCAATACATGTTCCGAATTAGAATACACTCCTTGAAATTATCGAAGTGGAAAATGATGGAAAATGGTCCCTTGGATCACAATTGGCCTGTACAAAGAAGTGACGAAAGGAAAAGGACAAAGCCAGCACCAGCTGCCACTCACAGCCTCGATTTAATTGCAGGTGGGATTTTCTGAGGTGATCCTCCAAGTTGTCTACAGTGAACAGCCACACGAGCATACCGAGTTGCTCACAAGTTTGCACTCCAGAGAGCACATTTGCCCAGTTTGGGCATGACTCCAGAATGCATCTCAGAACCACCTGAGACCCCCAAACTGCTTCGACGCCCAATGAAAACTCCACCCAGCACATGTCCCACTAGCACAACTTGTGACCCAGTCACTCTTGTCCCCACCCCACCCCAAAACAACATATCTAAAAAAGAGAAACTGAGGGAACCGCTGGCCCTCCTCCCTTCGTCTCCAAAGACTCGTCCTCCCGACCAACCGTGCTGAGACCGGACCCGACTCGCCCGACCCGCCCGACCGCCCATCCGACCCAACCAGGTCTGTGGAGGTGGGCGATGACTTGGACCCGTTGGACGATGAAGGTCAAGGCTTCCTCCAGGAACGACAGCGGTCCGGTCCAACTGGGTCGACCAACCCGCTGTTCGTCTGTCTTAGACCGCGGGGGCGAAGCAAAAGCGACCGAGCCGGACCGAAAGGAGGAGAGCTTCAAGTTGATGTGTTCAAGCAAGTGAGAGGGGAACTTTGAAACACGGGGAGGACGTTGGATTCTCCGCATGAAAAGCAAAACGGACTGCCATCACATTGCATCACGTCCAAATGACCTGATAACCTCCCTCTCTCGCTCATTTAAACCAACAGAATCACGACCTTGCCTTTCTGACTTGCCAGGAGCTCTTCCCAGCCCAGCGAGTGGTGGTGTTCCACATCACGTCCCGAATTCCAGCTGTTCAGCGCTTTTTGATCGCTCCGTCTGTCCATCACTCCGTCTGTCCATCGGTGAAACCGAGCGGTAACATATCCGGTCGGATCCCTGCGTGGTTTTTCTGGTGGAGGCGTTGTTAAACCCTATAGTTACAAAGCCTAACAAAGCCTGGTGGAAAAGCCTCATCGACATCGTCCCTAAAACGAAGAACGAACACCCCAAAGACGGCGATCGAAGGTCTGCGGGGATGTGGAGCCGAGGACGTCGGCCCAGGTGGTCTGGATCCATGTAATGCACTCCTCAAATGAGCTGATTGAGGCACTGTGCTTCCCAGGTCGTAGCACAGTTCCTGGGTCTCCGGGTTAAACACATGGATGGCACCCATTCCGCAAGCCCATCAGAAAACGGTGTAAAATCCACATGATATCACATGATGTGTCTTCAGAAATTTTTAGAGCTATGTGGTCTCGCAACCCATCACCATCCATGACCTATATGACCTGTCCCGCCCAGGCGCGATGTAACCAGGCGCTGGTTTTCTCCATCCCTGGCCAGGCAAGACATCCGAAGGGATCTACACGACTCACCCAGCTGTGGAAGTGGAATTCATCCCAGCTGTTTGTAAAGGAAGATGGTTTGGGGGGCCCATTGTTTCCGCAAACATGTGAATGAGTCATTACGCTGGTACGAAGGTTCTTCAACAGAGTTGGTCACGAAGCCCGGCGAACGGAGGTATACCTTGGTCTTGCGGGTCGTTTGGGTCGTCTGGGTGGTTGTTTGATTCGTCGTCACTTCTGCCACCTTTGCTGTGAAGTGGCCATCTGAGACAGACTTCAGTGACGCGTGTCTTTGTGAACCATGTTCTGCGAACCGAAGAACGGATCGATGGTTGAACGTCGCATGACACACCGCAGCGAGTTTCGCGGAAAAGCTGGGCCCAGCGAAATGCGGCTTTTGGATCAATGGCTGTGGGTGATGGCACCAAAAACCCCTATATGGTCTAGTCCCTGGTAGCTTGACCACCCTGAGGTAGTCGAACTGTTCCTTTTCGGTGGGCAAAAGAAACAAGGTCCACGAGTGCCGTGACCGCCATATGAAGCTAGACAGGTTCAGGTGAGCGATGCGATGCGAAGTGTAGACTTGGAGATAGAGCGAGCGAAGCTGAAAAGCGTTTAGCTCTGTGTCAAACGTTTCCCTGGTGCACATGGACCGTAGAATTTCACAGGTCAGGGTTTATAGCCAAAGTTTTGTTTGAAAAAGATTTATAAGTTTTTGGAAAAGACACTAAAAAACAAAACCTACAATCCCGCAGAAAGATACCAGCAAGGTGAATACAGAAGTTTGGACGCAGGAAACATTGTACAAATACTAGGAACTTGCAGGAAAATGCAAACATACATACCAATCAAGCAAACCCTGGGCTCAACAAACTGCGCATGGCGCACGGCCATCTGTGAGTCTGTGTGAGCCAGCTTGTCTCTTTTTTCTCCTGTGACTAGCGACTTCTGCCTTCAGTCTATCATCAGCTCCGTGGCTTTGTTGGGTGACAAACGCTTCGCTCAAGCATCTTGCCCTACACCACGCAAACAACAAAGGTTTGAAAGGCAAGGCCTTTCACTTGGAGGCTGAAGTATTTTGCTTCTTGCCATTGCAAAACATCGGCTATCATTCCAAAAAAAGCTATAGTTAAAAACAAGGAACCATAACTGGCAGCGCTGGCTACAAACAAGATTGTAATTCCAAAGCAAAAGCTAGTATATATTCCGATTCTAAAAAAATTATTCAAAAAAGAACCATGCCTGGCAGCGCTGGCTACCAAAAAGTTATGATTCCAAAAAAAGTTATAGTTCCAAAAAAATAGAACCATAACTCGCTGCACTGGCTACCAAAAAGTTATGATGCCAAAAAAAAGTTATAGTTCCAAAAAAAAGAACCATAACTCGCTGCACTGGCTACCAAAAAGTTATGATTCCAAAAAAAGTTATAGTTCCAAAAAAAGGAACCATAACTTATGATTCTTTTTCCAAAAAAAAATCATAGCCAAAAACTATCAAAAACCTTTCAAAATCAGAGGTGTTTGCTAGTTTGGGGCTCTGTAAATCTAGGTTTTTCACTAAAACACATAGCTCAAAACTAGCAAACACAATTGATTTTGAAGGCTTTTTGTTAGATTTAGGCTATGCATCTGTTTGGAAAAAAGAATCATAAGTTATGGTTCTTTTTTTTTGGAACTATAATTTTTTTGGAATCATAACTTTTTTTGCTTGGAATATTTTGGAATCATAACTTTTTGGTAGCCAGTGCAGCCAGTTATGATTCTTTCTTTTGGAACTACAACCTTTTTGGGAATCATAACTTTTTGGTAGCCAGTGCTGCCAGTTATGGTTCTTTTTTTGAACTATAACACTGTTTTGGAATCAAAACTTTTAGGTGGGCTGTGTCACCAGTTATGATTCTTTTTTGGGGAAACTATAGCATGTTTAAGAATCATAACTTTTGGGTGGGCACTGTCCGCAGTTATGATTCCTTTGTGTGGAAAGCAAGGGCGATTGACAGAATCTTGACTAGACATAAATCTGTGGATGTTCGTCAGATTCACACACTTGATGTTTGGATAGTGGTTGGCTCGGCGCGGTTGGCGTCCCTTTTTATATTGAACCTGGTGGCAGCATGACATGTGCGTTCACACACATAATGTGTGTGTGTGTGTGTTTGTTTGTGCGTCTTTGTGGTTATCTTAAAACTTAAACCTGTCGCATACATTCTTAATTTTGGCCTACTTGTCAAACTGAGATTGGCCGTTAATAAAGTGGAGCCATATGGAAGCTCTGGAAGCACCATGCACCCTGCGACATAAAACCAAGACACGAGGATTGCACTGAAGCAGGAATTGGGATTGATTATGGTTTTTGTTTTAAGTTCAACCATCTTAAAAGTTATGATTTTTTTTTGGACTGAACCGCCTTGACTTGCGAAATTTGAACTGGCTAGCGTGTAGAGGGTGTTCATGTACCTCGAAACGATGGTTTTTGGTGTTTGATCTGCGCGCAAAGACTGGGATCCGGGATCCTACTTAATACTGAGTGCTCTGGAGAGGGAGGTTCCTCTGGTACAGGTAGACATGAAGAGTGGACCAAGCGGGCTGATGAATCGGTGGACACGAATCTCAGAAGTTGGTTGGTTTTATTGAACCAGTCTTTAATGTTCAATACACACCCCGGGTTCCGTCTCAGAATATCTAGAAGCAAAACAGCAAGGTGGTGTGCGTGGAGCAAAACAGGGTTTCAACTCCGCAGCTGTTTCAAATCCATGTGACCGTAGCTAATGCTTGCTCAAACAAGTCAGGCGAAGGAAATGATCCTGGATGCACAAATAAGCACATTCCTTTATCGCCATTAATCCACATGATCATAGATACCTGTGATTCTTGGGGATGGGTCGTTCAACCTGGAGCCCGACCAGTCCACCATGTGAACTCCCAGCTAGGTGCCACCTGGCTAGCCAGATGAAGTAACCCAGACCCCTTGTAGATACGTGCAAAAGCATCACCAAGCTTCCCAGCCGCACTGCCACGTCCAAAATCGGGCTTTAGAACGGGCTGGGGCAGTTAGGGGTCCAAAGGCATCACCAAACTGAACCACTTAGATGCAAGAGCTGTTGTTTTTCACTCCCATGCTTTCAAGCAAAGGAAGAACACAACAATAAAAAAAGGGACCAAACAGGTTCCTTTGTTTTGTTTTTTCTGGATGACTGTGTTTTTCTTCTGTTGTTTGTGTCCACGCTTTCTTGCTAAGTGCATCACTTGAATCGCCGTTCACCTTCATCCGACCCTGGATCAGGCTTCCCGTGGTAAGTTTCCACCGCCCGCGGTGCGCCTCGTCGTTCTCTCCGCGATGGTGGCGGGCACGGTGGAGGGCCACCTCGAGAGCGCCACGGATCTGGCCACGCTGCTGAGCGTTCTGACGCTGCGCGAGAAAGATCCCAGCCAGCAGCGAGTCATTTGCGAGGCGAGTGAGAGCCTGGGTGAAGCATGTCCAGTACGTGCGTAGAGAGGTTTTGCTTCTTTTGTTTGTGCCAACGTGGAATCCAGTGATGGAATCCTACAACTGCTTGCTTGAGCAGGGATTGGAGACCTCAAACTATCAGTCGACATGGATTTTTGTAGGATCTTCTGCAAGTGGAATGGGTTGAAGGAATGGGTTGATGAGGAATGGATTGCTGCGGGATGCATCCTTTGAAGTTCACTGAGGAATGGGTTGAAGTTCACTGCCCAGAGCGCTGGGAAAGACGTGGCGGTGTTGGGATGGATCTTCAAAGATGCCTTCACGCAGTACACATTCGATGGAGCCGGAGAGGACTGAGCTGTCAAAGTTCTGACGATCTGCCAGCCAGTCCCAAACTTGGGGTGGTGTCAGGGTCTAAAACACCATCATATATCATCATATACAATACAATCACCTTGAAATTAGCCCTAGAGAATCGTGGGAGGATTCACTCATATTCATGCGAACACCTGCCCCCTTTCAATCAATGAGACTGGAGGATATGACTGTGGGCCAAAAACCCGCGCACCCTGCTTGGCCCCGGATCCAATGAACAGATTCCTCTAGATCAGGGGGTTCTACCATGGTTTCGAGAGGAAGGTGCCACTCAGACGCCAGTCTCATAGCCATAGTATGAGTGGGTCAAAACCAGGAGCCCCAGGCTAGGTTGACCTGATTCATGTTCTTTGGTCAACCCAGGGAGCCCCGGTGCCATGGCCGGCATGGATTGTGTCGGTATGAAAGGGGTTGGGCGTGAAGTACTGTTACTACTACTGATAGCATATTACTAGCTCTTTCTTGATTCTATGGGTGGTGCATGGCCCTTCTTATATAGTTTGGAGTGATTGGTCGACGGTGAATTCCACACAAGTTGACCTTGCAGTTCACCACATCTCCAAATCGCTTTTGGAAGCTAGTAGTAACAAGTGCCACGCTAGAAGCGATGCACTTGTTCCTAGTAGAATTGTAATTACTAGCAAAGGAATCTACTAGGACCTTTTGCAGCTTGGAGTGGTCTCCACTTCATTCCGGAGCACGTCGTCCGTCGACTCGTCGTCCGTCGGGTCGCCGTTTTGCCTCGCATCGTTCGAGCGGTAGACGACCATCGATTGGACCTCTCAAGGGTCACAACGGAGCACCTCAAAAGAGATGAAGAAGCTCTGGGGTCACATGACTTACCAGGAGTCACATGGACCTTCTGGGCTTCCCGACTACCATCCGATAGCACCCCGTCGAAGAAGATGGCTTAAAGATCTCTCTCAGCATCACTGGGAAGCCCTCCGGCCCTGTCCAGGAGCATTTGTTCTTCAAGCTCCCGGTGGCTCCACTGCTGAGTTGCCTCACCATCTTCGAACGCGCAAACCTCACCTTGAAGTTCCCCCCAAGCGCTCATGAACTGCGCCTCTCCCTGGAGGAATCGTCTTCCGCCCAAACTTCGTTGGGTGTGTATGTAATGTAGACCCTTGATGAATAAACCACCCATAATATGAAGATCTTGTTCTTAATTGGGTGGGTTGTCTATATGGGGAGACCCCCTATCATCTCGCCGGCTGGGTAGACTGGTATCGAGCTTGCCCCAATCGGGGGTGAGTACGGGGGTGGGTCTCCCTAGTGGAACTACATAGACGGTCGTGGCGCTTCGCGTGTTTTTTTTCCGCGTGTTTCGTTGCGCCACATTGGGCAACAGAACTGAGGGCTGCAAAGATCGCAGTGCAAATGGCTGGGTTTTTGGTGTGCCCGGCAGGTTCCGTTGTTGAGCAACACCCCGGTGGGAGGAGTGTCGATGGTCAACAAGAGGCTTCTCCACTGGGGACATCGTAAGCGAAGGTGACCGTCACAACTTGTTAGCCAACAATCAATAAACATCATAAAGCTGGTAGTTAAGAGGTGTGTCCGTGTTGTTTCCAGTTCAAAGTAGACATTCAACATAGTATATAGACTGACATAGCGTGCAGTTCGCATTGGTGTGCTCAGCAAAGGTTTTTGTTTGATACAACGTGGTGTGCCCATGGGGTGTCCAGTTCTACAAATGCATCGACAACAACGACAACACGGTGCAGTTCGTTCGAACGTGTGCTCAGCACATGTGCATGTAAAACCGCATGCTGATGGCACGTCAATTCCTTTGATGTGATCCGCACGGGCTGGCGCCATTCCCCCTGCACAGGAGGATGGCGCCATCACCGAGTGCTGCTTGAAGACGCTCTTGTTGGACGAAGCCGCTCGCGTGCCTTTGAGCGTCTTCCTCCAGCCCTCCGAGCGCCCGTTGGGCGCCTTCAAGGCCAAGCCTGCCGAAGTCTGGCATGGCGCGCTGAGCGAGTTCCAGGAGCTGGAAGGCCGAACTGAGCACGGACGGGCACGGATGGGGTGCTGGGTGCGGTACTGGACGGAGTGGTGCGAAGGAGAGGGTTTTGGTGGACGGGACGTTCTTGAGGAGTGGGTTTTTGTGGAGGGTTGTGGATGCTTTGGGAGGTTTCGAGTGGCAAATTCAGGAGACACGGTGACACGGGAGATGGTTTTGTGCGTGAGGCCTTGGGTTTGGGCACAGATTGTTTCGCTGTTTCGTTAGTTTTAGTGTGAGACCCCAATTGACCGACCGCTTTTGGGACCCAGAGGAATGGTCTTTGGGATGCGCTCTCCACCATCATCAAAGAAGACTCAGCTTGTCAGGGATTCCGGGATGCCTAACATAGTAATTTAGACTTTCTGAAAATCACTCAAGGAGAGAGCAAGTTGCGCGACTGTTGAAACTGAACCTATCAGATCTATCAAAGAGCTTTGTTGCAGGTTCTTCAATGTGAAGATCGTAGAAGTGGGCCTGGATCCGCTTAGAGGATCTTAGAGGTTAACACCTAAAAGTACTCCCCTGCAGAGGACCACATGGCACCCGAAACCTACTGGGTCTTGTAGAGGAACATCGTGATAATTCCCACGGATCCACATCTCTCAGGTTCCATGGGATCGTGACAGCGGGAGAGTCACACCTCAAAGTCATCTTCCCGAATCCACCACGGACCTCAGTGGCTTGGGCACTGTTCGAACGCGGCGCCTGCCCGAGGCTCGGACGTGGTCCTCAAAGTGACGCTTCGCGCGAAGGGCGAGACCGAGATGGCACCCATGGCTTTACGAGCCAACACCATCAATAGCGACTGGTCCGACTGTTAGAAGACAACGCAAAGCAACCCTTGGCGGACATAGGTGGAACACCTGTTGCATGGCTTTTGCCCAGAAAGGTAGCATATACAGACATTAGGTAGACTCTTGATAGATAAAGCCGCCCCATTTGAATTGAAAAACCATGAACAAAAACACTTTATATGGGGTGGGTGAGTAATCAAGAGTCTACATTGTCAGTTGTTCTAGACCCTGAATTGTTCGATGCTTCTAATCTTCAACTCATAGAGCTCCTCAAGCGAGTATAATTAGCATCAGACATCTATTCATACGTGACCATCTTCGGCTAAGACGGTCCGCGTCTTCACCGATGGCGTCCGGACTATGCAGGTGATAGAGAAATCAGATGAAATCGCTACAGGGCCCACACTCTTTGCCCCACCAAACCGAACCCGACGCTGGCATGACGAACGGAACCAGGATCGCTGCGGGTTCCGTAAACCGGCATCGCGACTCGAACGGAGCGGACGCGTTCGGCGCCTCTCTCATCCCTCAGAACCCGGTTCCGCCGGTTCCGTCACGGTTCCGCGGCCCGCCAAGAAGCGCCACCGGACAGGAAACCGGAGTGTCCGCGGTTAGAATCGTCTCGGATGGTGAACTCGAAGGGACCTGATGGTTTAGCACGGAGTGGCAGGTGATGCAAATGTGGAATTGCCTCAAAGCAGTCTGGAGGAAGTGGAGCTTGCGGAGAATGCGACTCGTCGAAGAATGGTCAGATGTCAAATAGACCCCGAGCGCCTCGCGAACATCGATAAACATGGATGAACCCCGACTCTGGGAAGCTAATCCTGACAAGACAGACAAGATGACTGGATCCCAGGACTCAAGCTAGTCTATCACAAGACAGGCTAGACAACCGGTACATAATTGTTTAGGTCATTACATGTTAATACTCAATTGCTACATAATAACCGGTATATCATTGCTATATAATCCATTATATAATCTTATTATATAAAGCATTACAAAGTTTCAGGTGACCCCAGATCTTGCGTCTGCTCTAACAAACCTCAGGCTGGCGAGCTCACGTACAGTTACCTGCTCAGCAGTGCCTTAGCGGGTTGCCTCAAGGCTTCCAAGGAGTCACGCGCGGTGAAGATCCGCTTCAATCGAGAAGGTCGCGCATCGCGCCTGCGTTGCGTCCCCCGAAACGGCGCGGACCCGGAGCGACCAGCGACGTTGGGGTGTGGAGCTGGAAGACACCGTCGAAGCTTGTCAACTAGTTAACCAAGACCAGGTTGGGGAGGTGCTCGGTGCTCAACCAAAAAGATAGCTAGCCTAATCCCAGGTGGACCACCACAAGAAAGGGTCTGCCATGGGGTCTCTCAACCTTCTCTTGGAAGAGTTGAGTCTTTGAAGACTTTTTGACTCCTGGTCACTTCTTTGGAACTATATAGCACTTTTTCTTAAACAAAACAAACAAACATGGAAACTGCCACCGGTGTGTGGTGGTTGGGAACGTGATTTTCCGCCTTGGGAGAGTTGAAACGTTTATTTGGGCATATGTGGTCAACTTTTATTGATGCTTCAGTCGCCACATGTCGCCTTGGCTTCATCCCAGCCGCTTCATGCTCAGGTCAGGCTCTCAGAGGCCTGTAGGCTTCACCGCTTCACCTGAACCTGTCTGGCTTCACCTGAGCATGCGTTTCTTCCCGCCTTTTGTGTTGCCCTTCTTGTCGGTCATGTTTGAAAAGCGGATTCAAACCTCATTGTATCAACGTAACAGAACAGAACACAAAGAAAGGGTCCATGGAGTCATGGGGAATGTGTCTCCTCATGGAGCTGCTCCTCACTACAGAAGGAAAACAAAACACTGAGGTACCAGGAGTACGATGAGATAGTCGATATAGGCAGATGATTCCTGAGTGCCCCGGCTGATGCTTCGTGCAGGTGTGATGAGCAATCAGTTCATTCTACGTTCCCGGGGTCGGCAGCTGCTTTGCGAGGCCTTGGTTTGTCCCATTGCGCCGGAGGTGGGGAGGAATCACTTTGTTGAGGAACCACGGAGGACTGGGTGGTGGACTTGCCAAGATGGTAGAAAACATAAGGAAACAAAGGCTTTGGGCCATGGGTTTCCGTCATATTTGATACTGTAATTATATGGTCATACGTATTTATACGAGGCTTTATATACATGTACTGTGCATATATAAATATGAAAATGTTTGCATGATTGCAGCGAAACAGTTGGTCGTTGTTTTCCGCCAGGTCGAGCGCAGTTGGGCTGACCGTGCTCAGCTGCGCGCCAGCGCAACGTTGGCAGAAGAGTCCATTGGCTTCTGAGCCGAGCCGAGTGCGGATCGTTACCGAAGTGAGCTCAGAGCACATGTTCATGTGGCCCGGCTCAGCAGATGACGATGTGCTCGACGTTTTCGCATATCGCATGTGTTGGTGAGGATCTGGGTCCAAGCTGAGCTTGGCTCTGAAGTACAGAACCCACTTCCTGGGGAGGAAGTCGAGGCAGAAAAAGCGCCACCACGGCTTTCAGACACACTCGTGGAACTAGAGTGTCGAGACGCAGCAAGAGACGCAGTACATATCCCTAGGGTTCCTGGCCTACCTCCGTTTCGATAGTGGTTAGGGTGGGTGCCAGGGGGCTCTAACCACCTTCTGACAATATGGTTGGAGCCCAAGGGTTAATTTGCACAATTTGGTCAATGCGTGTTGCGTGAGTAGTCCAAGTGGACCTGAAGATATTATTCCCAGACACTCCATGTATGCCATATTTGCCTATGTTACATTGGGTGGTTTGGGGGGTCAATGTAAGCATATATATGGCACACATGGAGTGTCTGGGATTGACATCCAATCCCACGGGCTGTGTTTGTGGGTTCTTTGATGCAAAGGATCGCTTTGCGCAGGTGCTCCGAGGGCACAGGTCTGGAGACCCGGCGGGTTGGAGTGATCAGGGACCGGTGTGCATAAAACGGACTTGGATTGAGCTACACTACACATGGCGAAGCAGAAAAATGGTGCTGGAAAAAAAAGGACAGTGCAACATACAATCCGAGACCTGTTTTGAATTGCCTGCTTTTGACATTTGATCTTGATACCGTTAGCCCTTGCGTGGCCCTTTTACTAAAGCACAAAGCTCAAGCCTTTGATCTAAGGGCAGGCGAGCTGCTGTCCAGCCCCAGGGTCTTCGTTTTCTGCGGGAGGTCCGAGATCCTCACCATTGTCCAAATCTTTTTTTGCAGTGGCTTGGGTCTTAGGATGCATGAAGCAAGGTGAGCATGGTGAGGACTTTCGGACCAGCAGCTCTTGGTGTTGTTCTGCTTTTCCATTCTTGCAGCTGGAGCATAGACCGTGTGTTCCGTCTAAGAGAGCAAGTTGCAGCGCAAGCTCCAAAATCGTGTCCAGGATTCCTATGCGTTCACAGAAAGTGTGAGAAAGCACAACTATTTGTGTTGTATCCTTCATTCATGAACTTCATGAGGCAGGTTTAGCATGTTGGTAACTAACTTACGCCATGCAGCCTTAACATACATTATGAGGAGCAAGCTACTAGGGGCTCCTGGCATCGCTACTGGGAGCGATCGGACGCTACGAATGGGGCTCCTGGCCTTACTACTAGGAGCAAGAAGCTATTAGGAACATAGGGGACCAGCCCCTCTTTTCCTTTGGAGCAACTGATGCTCTGCTCTCCACGCATGTCGCCACAGCCGCCGCACGTCGCCACCGAAGCCCGTTGGTCTTACGCCCAAGCCGGCCGTCAGGGATCATTGGAGCGTCCTCCGTGCTTGGTCATTTGACACTATAGACCCTAGGGCTCCAACCATATCCTCAGAAGGTGGTTAGACTCCCCTGGCGCCTGGCACCCCACCCCCCACCTTCTCAGGTAGTTGGAGCCCTAAGGGAGACACCACTTCTTTGTTACTCTGCGCAAGTGACCCCAGTGGCGCACGGAGACCTTCTTTCAGCCTTCTTTCACCCGGCCACCTCAGGCCGTCCGTGGATCGTTGTACGGCTCCTCAGGTGCACCGGCTTCGGTTTCGGCCAAAGCAGCCGAAGTGGCCGAGGCAGACGTGGTCCAGGCGCGGGCGAAGTCGCGGGCGAAGCGCGCGAAGGGGGCGATGGCAGGAGGATCTGAGAGGTTTTCGCTGGCAGCTTGGAAAAGCCCCAGGAGGCCTTGTTTGGTGGATTCTGTTTGGTGGGAAGACTTTGGAAATTGCACAACCGGCTTGCGAGTAGTTCATGTCCGTCCATTTCTGGCTATTGCCATGAAATTTTCCAAGATAGGAAGTGATGTGTCCACATGATATACATGACATGCGCTCTCCCTTCTGGGGGGAACATAGCACCATGAGATGCAGGCAAGAAAGGGTCGTCCCACCTTTTCCGGGCACCTTCCTTCTATCTTCCTTTTTTCCAAGGCTTTTCGTGCACAAGTTGATCCACTTCTTCCAGACTCTTGGACTTTGGGATCCAGTCATTGGGGCTCTCCGGTTCTTCGTCAGCTCGGAGCTGTCCCCAAGCAGGTCGGGCAGCTCAAGATCTTCCTACCTGGCGCGGAGGTCACTCACTCGCACGTGAGAGCCTTGAAGCGGCGGCAGACATCAATGAACAACCTGACCATTTGCATGAGGGAAACCCCTTTGGCAGAGACTTTTTTCTTCTGCAGTCTTATTCTAACTATAAAAATGTGCGCCATCCAAGATGGCACCAATCCCATGGAAGCAGGACGTTCATCGCGTCAGTTTAAAACCCTTGATAGCCCAATCACCATGAAAGGATTCTTTTCTTTGGGCGTTTGAATCGCTGGATTCCCCCTTGGCTGAGGATCCGCACGAAACAGAGGAGCTGGTCTTGAGGCGACGCGGCTACTGCTATGTGGGGGGGCTTGAGAGAGTGTTAAGGTCCAAGATTTGTGAGTCGAAGCTGTGAAGAGAAATCAAACAGAACTCACTTTTGACCATTTCCAGAAGTCATCTCAAAATGTCTTGTGTGTTTCGGCTTGGGAGTTGATCCGGTCCGGTCCGTCTCTCATCATCTCTCCAAACAGTATGAACTTCAGTGGCCGGTGGGTGACACAAACCTGGGAAGCACAACCCTCATCACCCGTCAACCAAAAAATCGGAGAGATTTGTCGACCAAAATCGGAGAAAAAGATGCGTTGCAATGAGAAGAATTGAAGAGTTCTAGGAGGGAAGTTTTGGACTGTATAGCTTTTAAGAAGTTTTGGAGGTCTTTGCAGAACATGGCCCACCTTGAACAGATTTCAGAGGACTGCAAGTGCATGAATTATAGAGTGGTTCCTTTTGTCGAGTTCCAAACGAAACACCCTCGAAAGGTCTTTTTTTTCAAAAGGTTGGTGAGACCGACCCACGGCCGGCGTCACTGTCCGCCATACGACAGGACGCGACTGGATTGCCGTCGTAGGGGGGGTGGCCGAGCCGCCTTGACCGCACGACCGCCCCGCATCAGGCTGGTCAATCTAGGGCCCTTCGGCTCAGGGCAACATCCCACCACCTTCCTCATGCTGAAAGCCATGCAGGCGCGTTCACGCGCGTCGGCGGCGGTTCATCCGTTTTCTTGGACACGTCCGACCCTTGCCGCGTCAGCGCTCAGCGCGGGTCCACTGGGCCCATGTGGGGAGAGAGTCCTCTTGTTCAAAGGTTTCACTCTTCGAATGTCCATGGAACTCGAACAGAGGAAAGTTGGTCTCCTCAAAAAGGCGCTGGGATCCACTGAAACAGAGATGAGTTGAGATGTTCAAGAAGCAGGATCGAAGGTCTCAAACGTGGCTTTCAAACGTGGATTGTATCATATTAATTGTATCAGTTGTATCTTCCAACAATTCCTATGTGACCCCCTCAATGGTCGCTGTTAGCGACCACTGGGGAGAACACAACACGAGTTCCGATGCGTTCGATGTTTGGTTGAACCGACGTGTTGGTCATGAGATACCAGAGAGTCTCTATATAATAGGTTACCAAAATGCTGGTGAACCAGCCAGCTTCACCCTAAATCAGACTTTAAACATGTCTCCAGAAGCACCTGTGCACGTGTGCCTGAAAAACCCTCGGCAGACAGTGACCAGACACTCCAAGCCCATGTGATCAAAATAAGACCCTGGAGTCGTTCTGAGTCGGGAGCTGCGGTGTTTTTGCGGTGTTCCGACCTCCGAGGTGTTCCCCACGCCGTGAAAACGCGTTCTGTCAGGAGATGACTTGGGCTGGCCTCTCCATGTGCGTGGGGGCCCTCTGATCTGTTCTGATGCAAAGAATTCCATGTTTGGGTGAAGAATGGCGCCACTTGGCACAGTCATGTCTACACTCCCGGTGGGTCGCGGCCACATGGAGAATGGATCAACATGGACCAAATTGCAAAGATTTGCTTTCCTCTTTCAGGGTGTCCATGCGAAATTTGCTAAGAATGATCTAGCACTGCGGGGGCTTGCCTCTACGTGGCATGTGGGGCGGCTTCCAATGGCTTCCATGGCTGGGATAAGCTCAGACGCGGGGAGGCGCTGTTCGGCTCACCACGAGCGCCCAAGAATTTCCTCGGATTTGGTAGGTGTCAAATTGCCAGGGCTTGCTTTCAAGGACTCGCGATGTTCGGTGCATAGGCTACCGTGGAGTGAGTTCAAGTGGGTCACCACGTTGTCGTCGACCTAATTAGTGGAAATGAGCTCATGGTGCTCTCGACCGAGGTTTAGTAGCAAGTTCCTCCAACATCCACGGATGGCCATGACCAAACTGGCACCAGGACTATGGCTGTGGAAGTGGCGTATTGGGTCTACTGGCATTGAGGACTGCCGGGGACGGAGGTGGGACCACAGAAATCGGATCCCAATGGGTGGGGTTTGGAAGTTCTGGTCCAAATTGTTGGTCTCACTGTACATGTGTTTTCGATTGTGCAGTCGTATGTCGGAAGGATGTTTGGAGTGCTCAGTCGGATGTTGTTTGTCCAATACGCATGGACGGGTGGATCAATACCAAACGTCAAAGTCACGAGCTCCGCACATCACGCAACCGTCATGTCGGGCATCCAGAAATCACGCCATGTGTAGGCGCCTTGTGTGGGTGCGCTTGCAAAGGTCTTTGGGCCAGCCAGCACGGAGCGCGGAGCTGCAAGAGCAGCACGGAGCACGTGGCCCACGCGTTTGGAGGTGCAGAACCTTCATGGCTGGAAAGCTCTTATGCCCGTGGCTCCACGCGTTCATCACTGATCTGAGTCACGCCGAGACCCGCCTCAGGAGTCACATCCTTTCTTTCGAACCGGCCGGTTCGGTCACGCCGTGGCATGTCTCAAAGGAGAGGCTGAGGCCTGGCAGCATTTTGGGTCATGGACCAAATCGCACCGCCAATCTGAGTGGGCGACAGACACTTGCAATCTCAAACAAAAGGTACAAGTGTAAAGACAAGAGTCAGCAAAAAGTTTGCAACAGTTTAGGTTCACATTTCGAGGGAGGTTGTGGTCTGCGGCCTCACTTGCCGAACAGCCATTTTGTAGCAGATCACCATCCATCACCATGCTAGTCACCACGCAGGTCAATTCCTGCTGATCGTCGAAATCAGCGGCCTCTCATTCCATGCACTTCATAGCTTTCCGGATGCTGTTGGAACTGGCACTGCACCTCATTGAGGACCAGCGAAGCCGGCAGTACACATAGTTCCCTTCGCTACGCCGTGTATCGTCCTAATTCCAAAATGGGCCGAAAGTGTGACGTGAATGCTCCATGAATTGCCCATCATAATATATCATAATATACTTCAATGCGCGTGTTGTTTGTTGTTCTTTTTGAAAGTGTACGGGCGCGGTCCCTGTTGCCTTCCAGTATGCTTGTAGCCTTGCACATTGAGTATGCTCACACATCTCCGCGTCATAACCTACGACCTTCCCTTGGCGGAAGACAGAGAAGCACCCCAACGCATCAATCCATGTTCCAAAAGTGAATGAACTGAAGGGGGATTCCTTAGGCTTGAACATGGAAGCCTTCAAGCAAGCATGTCGAAATCCAAGCAAGATCAATTCATCTCGTCAGGAGGTTAGCTCCTTTGCTTTGCAATGCGGTAAAGAAGAGCGATGGAGCACCTTCTGATGATTTTTTGGTGTAGAAGAGAGCCTCCTTGAACACTCGTTTGAACAGCGACAAGTCATCCAGAGATCCGTAAAACGTTTGGTCCGCACTAAGCAACCGCTTAGCAATTGTTCACTGGATGCGTTCAGTTTCACATAAAGCTCAATTATATAGGTGAATTGATTTGAGGGACCCATTTTGTGCAGATACCCACAGCATACCCCCCATCCCGACACCATTTCCGTTGCTACTGTCGTTTCTCTCATGACCTCCAGTAGCCCGGTTGCGTCGGTTCTCGTGCGTCTACCGATGCTGTCAGGCTGGGTGCGAAGCGATGCCTGGGGGTCCGGTGGCTCAAGAACAGGGCGGCGCCAATTCAGAATAAGAGAGTTGAGGCTGTAAAAGGAGGCCTGAGGTAGGTGTGGGTTGGCTTCAGGTACATGAAGATTGCCTCTTCACCAAGCTAAAAGAACCATGGACATAGGAAAATGCACTTGGAGCATTACTAGATATTGAGCCCCACAACTCTATATCCACAATTGGGAGTACATCGGCTAACACGCCTTCTTCCCTTGTTCTTTCAGTATTTCTTTGCTTCACCACGGCTGATGGCAACCCAGGTGGACAATGTGCCAGATGCCCTACTCGCGGCGCAAGACAATGCCAGGGCCAACGAGTGCCGGATTGCCTAGGTCTGTGGACCCTTAGAATCATCGCCCAGTCCGCGGGATTTGGAGGCAAGAATTTGCTTCAGTGGTGTCCTGCTGGTTAAACGGTTCAATTGCACCCCCTCACAGGTTTGAACAGCTTGGCCTTTCATTTCGGCCCTTCGTGGCCAGTTTTCAAACTATACCCTCTCGTTTCTGGTGGTGCGCGGGGTCGCTTCATTGAAGACCCAGGGAGCCAGAAGGGTTGATGTTGGATAAAGTCGAGTTCCGCAACTGCGCAGGATTCCGCAACTAGGATTCCGCAACTGTTTGGTCGGATTCCGCAACTGGGATTCCGCAACTAGGATTCCGAAACTAGGATTCCGCAACTAGCATTCCGCAACTAGGATTCCGCAACTAGGATTTCGCAACTAGGATTCCGAAACTAGGATTCCGCAACTGTCAAGATTCCGCAACTAGGATTCCGCAACTAGGATTCTGCAACTGGGATTCCGCAACTGGCGTTCCGCAACTAGGATTCCGCAACATTGTGGACTCCCTCACTAGGATTCCGCAACTTTGTGAATGATGAGGGGGTTGGCGTGATGTCGAGATCACACGATGGGGACAAGGGGGGGTTGGGTGGGGGGCTAATGACGTTGGTTTGGATGTGCTTCGAAGGTGATGTCACAGGCACACACGCTGTCGCATGATGTGGAGATCACCAGTTGCAAGTTTCAGAAGGCAAGTTGCAGAATCTGACTTTCCGGTTTCAGAATACCAGTTGCAGAATTTGACTTTCCAGTTTCAGAATACAAGTTTCAGAATCCCAGTTTCAGAATCCTAGTTTCAGAACCCCAGTTTCAGAATCCTAGTTTCAGAACCCCAGTTTCAGAATACCAGTTTCAGAATCCAAGTTTCAGAACCCTAGTTTCAGAACCCCAGTTTCAGAACCCTAGTTTCAGAATCCGACCGATTAGTTTCCGAATCCGGCTCTAACCGGTTGATGTTGGGATGCGAACCTTTTGTGCGACGGATTCGTGCGCGGAGACTTGCGTGTGCTGCACCGAGAGCTGCAGAGGCCTTGAGCGCTTTGAGTTGCACTTGCCCCCAGCGGTCCGCAGCTGAGAGCAGCAACTCGCCAATGGTTCACTCACTGGATACGAAGGACACCCTCCAACTCTGCAGAGTCTCCATCCACCTGTTGTTTGGTGGACTTATCTAAGGGGGCCCCCTCCCTTTGTTCCGGAACAAATCCAATGTGCGTGGGTTCCCCAGCTGTCTTGGGATCTGTAGTTCAACTGAATGAAGCCTGTGCTTTCGGGTGGAGGACTTGGACTCCATGATACCCGACGCATGCTCCAGCGAATCAACCCATCGAAGGCATTGAAGAAGGATAGTTCCAAACTGTCCAGTTTGGATCAGTGTGAGCTCAACACCCTGTCGGAGCTTCAGACCCTGTGCCACAGGGCATCAGGATCAAAAATAAAAAGGATCAAAAACCAGAAAATAATCCTGACTAGCTCCCCAGGTCCTTGGGTCCCCTGGTCCTCTGGTCCTTTGGTCCCCTGGTCCTTTGGTCCGCTGGTCCTTTGGTCCTCTGGTCCCCTGGTCCTTCGGTCTCCTGGTCCGCTGGTCTCTTGCTCTCCTACTACGCTGGTCCCCTGCTCCTTCGGTCTCTTGGTCCAGTGGGCACCTAGACCTAGTCCCTTGGTCTCCTAGTCCGCTGGTCTTATGGTCCTTCAGTCTTGGTAGCTCCCTAGAAGAGAGATAGCTTAGGGCCTAGGGTATTACCCAGTAGGGGGATAGCGCTGTCTATTATTACCCAGTAGGGGGATAGCGCTGTCTATACGTGATTTGCATTGCGGGGGAGGCGCTGCGCCCTCCCCCGCACCCCCTCCCGCTGTTTTAATAGTTCCCACTGCCGTCCACTACCCCTACTATTACCAGTGCCTCTATCACTCCGACCACCCCACCCCACTACGAGTCTTACCACAGCTACCACAACTACTATCTTCTTTGCGTTGACGCTGCCACAAAGGTGGATGATAAGGCCCAGCGTGACAGCCAGAAACCTTCGCTTAGTAGGAAGCGCTGTGCCCTACCCCCACTACTTCCAACACCACCATCACCAGAACGACGACTGCTACTACTTCTTCTTCTACTTCTATTACTGCTACTACTACCAACTAACTAACTAACCAACCAACCAACCAACCAACCAAACAAACCCAACCAACCAACCAACCAACCATCCAACCAACCAACCAACTACTACTACCACTACTTCAACTACTATTTCTACTACTGTACCACTAATTCCACTATAACTACTGCTTCTGCTACTGCTACTGTTACTGTTACTGCTACTGCTACTGCTACTGTTACTGCTACTGCTACTGCTACTCCTATTACTACTACTACTACTACTACTACTACTACTACTACCATTACTACCACTAGTACTCCTCCTGCTACTACCGCTACTACTACAACGACGACGACGACTACTACTACTACTCCTCCCACTACTACTACTACTACTACTACTACCACTACTACTACTACTACTACTACCATTACTACCACTACTACTACTACTCCTCCTCCTCCTGCTACTACCGCTACTACTACGACGACGACGACGTTGACGACGACTACTACTACTACTCCCACTACTACTACTACTACTACTACTACTACTACTACTACTACTACTACTACCATTACTACCACTACTACTACTACTACTCCTCCTCCTGCTACTACCGCTACTACTACGACGACGACGACGACTACTACTACTACTCCCACTACTACTACTACTACTACTACTACTACTACTACTACGACGTGCTCCTACTACTACGACTACTACTACTACTACTGCTACGACTACTACTACTACTATTACTACTACTACTACTACTACGATTACTACTTCTGCTACTGCTACTGCTACTGCTACGACGACTACTACTACTACAACTACAACAACAACAACTACTACTACTACTACTACTACTACTTCTGCTACTGCTACTGCTACTGCTACGACTACTACTACTACTACTATTACTACTATTACTACTACTACTACTTCTACTACTACTACTTCTACTACTACTGCTACTTCTACTACTACTACTTCTACTACTGCTACTGCTACTGCTACGACGACGACTGTCCTTTCCCCATTCTATTTTTCTTCGCTATGAATACTTGTTTTGCTCCTTTTCTTTTTCCTTTTGATTCCTCTTGAATATTTTTTTGATGCTGATCTTTTCTATTTTTTGATCCCTCACCCGTGCCACAGTGGTCGGGACGAACCCAGGAGGTCTTGGACAAGGACTTGGACTTCTACACACGAGAAGGTGCCGACTGCCAAGTGTCCTTTTTGTTGGTGTCGTTTTGCGGACTGGGGCAACAAAGTAATCCCTTTAGTTCCAGTTTCTTCGACTGATGGTTGCTTCAGAGTCCCATCTGGCTGGGGCTCCAAAATAGGATACTGACGGATACTGTACCATATGTACCATCCAACCCCCCAGTCTCCCCTAAGTAGATGGCAAACCTAAAAGCCTGCTACAAGTGGTTTCAGGATCCTTTCCTTCACGCCATTGACTTTCTGTGGGGTAGCGAAAAAAAGGGGTGTCCAGTTCAGGTGCCCAAGCTCCTCCAAGAGATCTTTGGGTTGTTTGTTGAGCCAAAGGATGTATCAAGACACCGCCTCCAGGGACTGGAATTTGACTTACCATCCTCCGCCCCATCTTCATTGAATCTTCCTTTGCAGGTGGCACCGGCGAAAACCCCCGACAGGGACTGGATCCATCTAGTTTCTCCAAATCTTCATCAGTCTTCATCTATCCGCAGAAATGCAACCCTGATGCACCTGAAGCCAGCAGTTCCGTCAAGTTCAATCACCTGCGCCCAGCACGGGTGCCAACCACCATTTTCAGGTGATTGGCGCAGCTCCACCATTGCCTGGACCCCGTTGATCCCAGAGGACCGACTGAAACGCCGACCGACTGGGGGCTTTCTCAGACGACGTGTTTTTCACCTGAAGAAGGTGATGAAGCCGAAGATGCGAAGGTGCGAAGAGTCCAAGACGAGCCCATGGACCCTGGAAACCACTGGTTGGTAGAGGAAAACACTCTGGAAGAGAGAGCCATTGTCAGGGCCTATGTTACTTTTCGGGAGTGTATATTTATTCTCAGCTCAGGACTTCATTGGATCATATTGGTTTGCTTGTGTATGAACCTGATCTGCCCTTCGAACGGTCACAGAATCGTCATGAGTGGTGTGTTTTTTCCCCGGCGGTGTTGGGCTGATTTTTGGTGGGAATAGCAAATGGGCCAGCACGCAAAGCCAAATTGAACCACCTTGCTTTTGGGTTCAACTCCATCAGATTCTACACTTGGAAGGGTGTGTAATCACATTTTCTTGAAGGATGGGCAGGAAGACTATCATTCAGGGGATGCGCGGTTCCTATGAGAAGGTCTATCAAAGTCTTTGTCAATCACAACCTATCATCCGGAGGCCATTTTCCCTTGGTTGGCTGGCGAAAAAATGCGCAAAGCTACTTCGACAGTATGACAATCATCGCACTTACCCGCTGCCAGAGGGTCTTGCATATTTCCCGTGCTTCTTGCTGCTTTTGTTGAGTAAAGGCAAGCTGCACCACAGCAAACCATCAAAACACTATGAATCTCTCTCAATTTTTGTCAAGCTCTTGAGTCTTTCCATGTCTTTCCTGTCTCACATGGTGCGTTCGGCTTCCTTCCATCGAACAGTCGTGTCAGGAGGTGGATGTAGTCCTGGCCAACATCGTGGTGGGACCGCCCGGGATGCCCAGGAGGGCTCGGTGGAAGCTGGGCCGCACCGCACCGCACTGGTGGAAGCTGCTCCAAGGCGCATGGCCCTGTACTGCATGGGGTCAGTCCATGCTATCAGTCCAGAGATGTCCAGAGTCCCAAAAGCGATGCCAACGAAAGCGTCTTTCTAGAGGAAGTAGCAGTGTGTCATCGGTTGCGCCATCGGTCGGTGCGGGAAGCGAGATACGAGCTCCACGCGTTTTCCGACTCGTGCGGCGCGGGAAGCGACGGAGACTTGGAGAAGGCCCGGCGGATTTGCCAAACATTCCGTCCCATTCCGGCGCCGTCTTGTTTTCATTGGCCAAAGCTGGGTGCGCACACCGGCGTGGCCAGGCGTGGCACGGATAGTGCACTTTTGCATAGGCCTTGTAGGCCTTTGTTTTGAAAAGGTGTTTCAAAGTCCAAGCAGCGAAGCGTTCATTCTTCAGACGTTCCCCCCATCACCATATCCTGTGCCAAAGAAACCATTGCCGAATGTCATCCGACTGTTGGCTGGCTACATCTTGGAATCACGAGACAATCGTTGCCCAACATAGGACTCCTACAAGCATGTGGACATGCTCTATATCCCAACAGCAATATTCTCCATACATGTCTCTCTTGGAACAGTTTCTGCACATCACGTCCACTTCTCCAAGGTTGTGCCGCTCCGCCAAGATGGTGGGGCAGCTGCTACGGCCAGATGGTCAGGCAGGGTGAACGCTGCCAGATGGTCAAGCGAGATGTATCTTGTTTAGATACTATACAGAATTATATAGAATTATACAGATACAAGATGATACAAGTATCTATATGAACCATTCAGCTGAACGCCGCCCGGTTGAACGCCGCCCGTTTTTTGAGAATCTACTGTATATATTACATAGAGTCTTCAACCTGGGGTTATAACAATTTCCACAGCAGTGTGTTGTGGAGCCTGCTCTACCAGAGAAAGACCACAGAGTCCACGTGCTGCACGTGGCGATTGGTCCCTGCGCAAGGTCCTTTTGGCTGGGATGAAAGAGTTCCAAGTGAAGCAAGTTGAAGAGGCCAGACGTGGCCCCTGACATCTGGTGAGCTTGGGCAAATCCGCCAACAAGTGCAGGTTGAACATGGAGGGCCTGCCCCTCTTCTTTGGTATTCTTCTCTTTGTAGAAGTTCCTGTCGTGTGAGATACGCACACACCCTGATCAGTATCCCCACACAATCTGATACCTGTGCTGGGACTCCCATGTTGTGCTATGGTAGGAATCCAAGGAATTATTTTGTTGGCTGCTCACCCACCACTCGCAGGCTTTTGAAGACTTCGACCTGCAGGCCAGGCTCTTTGCAAGAAGGCATCATCCAATTCATTTCTGTTCAACTAAGATTGGCCAATATCTGAGGTGAAAGATATCATGGATGGCTGGACATTCATTGCCGGAACAAAAACAAATTGCCAAATATATATGTTTTTTATTTTTTTATATATAGTTATTTATCTATTATATTCCATTGATATTTAAAAATGAATACCGATTGAAATTAAATATATAATTTAAATAGTTGTATATATATATATATTAAATTATTGAATATATTATATTGTTTTTTGTTTTTAAAATTAGTGGTCGTTGAATTTAAATATTATATTGTAATAATTTGAATTGATTAATATTATATTGTAATATTTTTTAAATATATTGAAATAATATGAATTGATTGAATTGAGTATATAGCGTGGGAGGTATATTAAAATTTATTTTATATATTAGAATGTATCGGTTTAATAATATTATAGAAAAATAATAATATAAATGAATTATGAACTATGGTAATCGATTGAAAATATGGAT